TGAATTGGTTGGTCGTTTACAGGCGAAGAATAAAAATTTGACAGTTAAACTTTCAGCTGCTGAGAATCCCAGTTTAATGAAGGAGGAAGAAATCTGCAAACCGGTAACTCAAATCGTTGAGCTGGAATCTGAGAATAAGCCAAGTAGTGAAAAGATCGGTGAACTTGAATGTTTTGTTGAGTCAGCGACAGGTGTGCAAAAGGATTTAGAACATCAGTTCGGAGTGTTTCGGAAAAAAGTGAGTGAAATGAAAGCTGACTGGTTGTCCACTCGTCAACAGCTAACTGAGATGAGAGAGCAACTGATTAAAACGGAGGAATTGCTGAATATGCAGAGATTGCGTGTGTTGAATGCAGAGCATACAAGTACCCATGAAAGTCCTGAAAAAATTTTCAAATCTCGAATTCTCAGAAAACGTCTGATGTCCTCGACTTCTAATGTACATTATTACAGAGGGAATGATTATAGACCTTCTGTTGGAATCATACTACAGAAAATGGGAAATCGAATGGTGGAGATATTAGACACTGAAGATCATTCAGTTCATAACAGACACCTGGATCAAGTGCGAATAAATGAAGTAGGTCGTTCCGATTATAATTTTAATGATTCCGCCACTAATCCTGATTTTGTAGATAATTCAGAAATAAGTCCAGATGATACTGATGAAAATAATATCACAGAATCAGCTAGAAGGTCGCAGCTACTTGCAAGCAAACCGAGACATCATTATAAATACGCAAGGAGATATTCGACATGTGGCGGATGTGGTGAATGACAATTTCTATCTCTGTATTGTTTAAATACTTACTGTTGCTTGTTAACATATTTCTTACATGAATTGAGTTAGAATTCTGCCAAATACAAATTCCTAAATTCACTCCTCTCTGTGTTTTGGTTGGATTCCTTTAATTCGGTCATTGCGAAATACAAATACTACTATTACAAACAATTGCAACAATAAATAATCAAAATCCAATTGACTGCATGACCAAGAAAATCCTTGGAAATTCAAGCCATTTCGCTTGGTCATATGGAGCGAGGTATATGGGTCGTTCGATGCGTCTTTTATCTAAAAGAGTTAAAGAACATTATCCCTCTTGGCTACGAAAAAGTAACAGTGGATCAATGAAGAGTGCTATAATTGAACATACAATCAACACTTGTCACACAATATGCATGGAGAATTCATTCATAATCATCTACAAAGTCAAGATAAGCCTTGCGAAAATGGTTAGTTCCCGTATACTTTGCATTGTCGAGGCATTGGTGATTCGCAGAGAAAACCGAGATTTGTGCACACAGAAGAAACTTCTCCACCTTCTCCTTTTACCTTGGGTATAGTTTCAAGTTCTACGAATTTGTTAGCAATGTTTTGTTTCCTTTTTTTTGTTTTGAATTTTTGTATGGCATCTTATTATTGTCATCTTCTACACCAACCCTTTATTTACTCTTTCCACCAATAGCATTTATATATATATATATATATATATATATTTATATAAATGCTATTGTAAAGCTAAGTAAATGAATTAGCTAGCCGAAAAGAGACTCTTCTCTGAACTTTGTTGTTCTTATAAAATAAAGCAGTCAAAAACTATTCATTTAGGTTATCATTTCAGCATTTATTAATCATGAATGCATCACTATTAACGTTAACGTGTCCATCTTAACAGTTAATTCGAAACCACTTACTCAGTTATTTTGGCGTTAGGTACCTAAAGTTTTAAAAGAAAATGCTTGTTAAATTTTACTAGGCCTTACTTGTATGTGCATGGTTAATTCCTCAGGAAACAGTCAGGGTACTACAGACAGTATTAAGAAAGGAATAACATCAGTAAGGTTTTATTCACCAGAAATAGTGTTCTCATTAGGTGGGTCATTTTGGTAATATAATTGTTCCCCAGAGTTTTAACTGTTGTAAATCACTTGTTGACATTTGTAAAAGCATCTGCTATAATCAGTAACAGCATATGAAGAACAATTCAAAGAACTCAAAAATTTCTGTCTACTAGTGGGACAGACTACTGATAAACAAAACAGCATATATTTCTGTAAGTTTAAAATTTAGTTCTGATTGAAGCTGGATATAATTAAAACATTATTGTCACTGGATGGATAATAACCTAACTTCTAAGGCTTCCGCCCTATAAGTTACAAAAAGGGATTGGTGCGAAGATTGTTTAATCGTGTAAGAAAGCTTTTCTGTGAAGAAAAGGTCGAGGAAGATTTGCCCATTGTGGAAAAATGCCTACGTGACAATGGTTACCTACAGAAGTTCATCGACAGATATGGAAGACGTAGTGTTTAAAAAAAGTGAAATGGAGCAAAGTAAAGAAGTCTGTCTTTCTACATCTCGCTTTCATAGGTGATGATAAAGCTAGTCGAATAAGATGCAGATTAAACGCTACCCTGAAAAGAATATATCCAACCGCCGAGCTTTTATGAGTTTATTAAACGACCAGTCGACTGGAACAGTCAGAAGTGAACAAAACCCTACCTCAAATCGCCAACCGCAAATACACTGGAAAACATAGAGAAGGGTTATTATCCGCATTTCTAAACACGTACCAAAGAACCTGAGGCTAAACGACTCACAGGTATTGAACAGTGCTATGGCGCGCCATCTATTGGACACTGGCGATGTTGTGGATAATCTAAAGACGTTCAAAGTAATCGACAGACAAAACAAACCCAGCCTGCTACGTTCTTCTGAGGCATTTGCCATCAAACAATTAAAACCAAATCGATGTACACAGTAGGAGATAGTGGTGAATCTTGTACTACCGTTGTGATAACAAAGTATACAAATTTTACTCCATCATCTTTTATCCAGCTTAGAAAACTTAAGTTTTTGTCCAGACATGACTCCACTCCACTCCCCTGTCTGTCCGCTATTTTATTAAAGTGTATTTTTCTGTAATTACGTAACCTAATATGTCGTTGTACTGTTTTCTGGGTAAACTTTGTTTTTACTCACAAAAATCTGCTGTACTCTGTCCTTTCGTTCCCAAGGTTATTCGTCTAATTGTCTAATCACTACTCAATTCTTTTAACTCCTAATTATTTTATCAATTTAATCTCATCGGGCTTAACTCTAATGCACCTACATAACTTTACAAATAAAAATTCAAATATAAACCAATCATGGTGACTTTTCTATAGGATGTTAAGATGGTGAACATAAATTGTGCAGTTAGTCTTGTGAACAGAGCAAGAAAGATATGTACGGATGACCTCTTACAAAATGAATTTGAATATATTCACGATTCCTTGACGCAGGTGGGCTTTCTGAGTAGTTTCATAAAGAAACATATGAAAACATCAGAGAGAAAACCTGAGACTCTGACTGCACGTAAGAAATCGCTATTCATTAACCTGCAATTTAATGGTGACTTATCTAGTGAGATTTTATTCCAGAAACTTTCCATGAGTATACGAAGAACATTTTACGCAGCACACCTGTGTTTATCATTCTCTAGCCGACGAATGATTGGGACGCAAACGAAGGATGAGCTTGATAGTTTCGCCACATTTATGTGTATTTATCAATTCAACTGCATCTGTGGAGACAGTTATGTTGGGCGTACTACTAGACAGCTTAGCCAACGTGTCACTACTGAATATCCGCCATCATGGTTTGGCAAAGGAGAGGTGAAAACAATCCGTAGCTCAATTTCGTCATATTTGATTGATAGTGGTCATTGTAGTGGAGAAAACGAGATCCTTCAACGTAATTCATCGTATCCCACCAAATCTTTCCAATAAACGACTTCGTTTTCGTCTACCGCACACAGCTGAGGTGATAGGCATTCGAACTATTAAACCTAAAGTATGTGTTCAGAAGAAGTTTGTACAGCCATTATCCCTCCCTTGTTTGCCTATTAAGACATAATCAACCCTTCTCTTATCATCCCTTAATCTTATCTTCATTATAAACGTGTTTCACTTCCTTCCCTTACAATCTAAAATTACCTAATTGGTTCATTTGTTTTTACTAGCCATTATCGACTACTTCCAAGTGGACATGAAAAACCGCATGATTAATCATGCGGTTTTTCATTATTCGTGTTATCACAGATTGCCTCACTTTTTCATCCTTATTATTGATAAAACCATTATTATTATCATTACTACTGTTATGACTAACTGCACAATTTATGTTCACCATCTTATTATTATCCTATAGACAACACACCATGATTGGTTGATATATGAACTTTTATTTGTAAACTTATGTATATTAGAGCTAAGCCTGATGAGATCTAATTGAAAGCACAATATTGTTCGCTTAAATGTGTTTTTCTTAATTATTTAACAACTTACATCATCACTGGCTAGTGTTAGTCTTGGTTCCCACCAACTACTCCTTGTTATCGTGTAGAAATTTTGTCAAAATCTTTAATATAATTCATATAGTTTTGTATTGTTCAGGTTTCAACCAACCAGTTGAGAAGAATCCTTAAAATGACAAAAGATGAGCTCGCTCATGACTATCCTGGTATATTTTTGTCATTCTTGCTTTGTTCAAGAGTAACTAAAAGTTGGCATCTTTCAAGGACTTAAAAATCATTCCCACTTAATTTGCCAGTTCAGAATTTGACGTCTCAAAATGAGAATTAAGACAGTATATTTGTATATATATATATATATGATTTTTCTGTATTTTAGGCTACGTAATAGTGGTCCACTTGACCGGCGGAAAAGGATGTTCCACCTTGAGGTATCAGTTCATTTAATTAAAACAACACACATGAGCCTACATGCTTTGTTTTAATTTTAACAATGAGAATATTTACTGACATGAAATAGTGATGAGAAATTTTAGCGGAAGTAGTATTTGAGGAATGTATTCACAAGTCTTTAAACATTCAGACTGTTACGTATTGACTGATTTTCTCGGTAATATAGTGACAACATTGTTGTAATAAAATTCTTCGTCTGAATGAAAGATTCCATAGCAAAGTATGTATATATATTCTCTTGAAAATGAAACCAATTTATATTTTCTCATGAAAACTATTTCCAGGTGAACTAGGCGATCCATATCCACTTGAACAACGATCATCTGATGTTGTTACTGTGATATCATTAAATTTTGAATCGGATGAATTCGATGACAGATGTAATCGATAGTTATTTATACTGACAACTGATTTATTACTACTACTTAAGACAGTAAGTTCATTGATATTTTGTGTTTTGGTTTTTGTAAATGTATGAATATCTGAAGGAATAAATTTTGAATAGTTGAGATTAACGCCAGATTTTGTATCAGATTCTTCTTCTTCATCACCATCATCAATATTAGCGCTACCAACAATGGCGCCATCATCGATATGTTGATTATTCACAAGTGATTCATTTAAACAAAAACATGTATCATTCACTCTAGTATCCAGGATTATTTCATTTTTTGCTGAATTTGAATTCAAACTGATATTTTGTGTAAATAGATGTGGAAATAACTCCATGTAATCATGTTCACAGAGTATGATGTTATTATGTAGATAAAAGCGATCTCCTATGCAAAACCTATGTGGTAAAATTGAACAAACAATTATACGTCTTAATTTATGAAAAATAGATGATTATTCATCAGTATATGCAGCTGACAAAAAAGATCAAATTGTTAATGGACTATTGATGCAAATAACTGACAATGTTGTTTTAAATGATATTTGAATGATCACCAGAAATTACAATGTTGCCGTTAACTATTTTATTCATTTCAAACCTACTCGAAAATGCATATTTATGAAGTTTATTTTTACACAATTACGAAGTATCTAGGATAGCCACTTCTAATTGTATCTATTAATTCAGCTGGTTCTGCTGAGCCAGTTGTATTGGCCGTTGCTCTAGGAACTTAGTTTTTCGTCCTCGGGAACACCTAGAAGTGTGGCTAAATAAAGATGTTATTAAAGTCATCAATAGCTCTAAATTAGGTTATCTCGTTCACACAGGTCACAAAAGTCACTAGATACTGAGCACTTCAAACAGACGAGGCCTTTGCAATCCACCTAAATCGACTGAAGCTTTGAGTGTAAATGAAAAAGGTCGAACCAGACATTAGTGCTAGTGTGGACTGCTCTCGAACCTAGAAATTCATAAATTCCGTGTTACTTGTCGTAATTTATCAGAAATTCATACCAGTGTTATATTAATGCGTATTATTGCTCGCTCACTGAGGCTTCAGAACTGTAATCTCCCTAAGCCATTGATCCAAGGTAATTTAAAACAGTATTAATGCTGTTAATAGGAATATTTCATTAATTATTACGGTCACATAAATGTAAAACGTGATGAAGAAGAGGTTATCATCGATCAGTCTTCTAAATTTTCAATGGGAATCTTCAAACAGTTAAAAACATCATCGGAATATTAATGAAGCAACTTGATTATAATGCTTTTGAACGAAGAAAATCAATCGGTCACCGCATATTCATCCTGGAAAGCTGGATGCCAGATGCCAACAACTAATGTTCAGTATTTATCGGAAAGCAGATTGGCTTGAGTTTAGAGACGAAATGGAGTTAGTTAATTAGTTCACTTTCTCGTGTTAAGGTGATACTGTGGTAATGGTGACAGTCGGTATATTGTTAAGGTGATTGCTTTTTAAAGTTGTAGTTCAGATAAAATCACCACCATCACCACCCCAATATTTGTAACCTAAGTTACGTTTATTCTTGACCACTGATATCAGTATCAGCCTTAATCTCCATTAAGCGACTTACGAGAAAGATTTCATATCACGATTATTATTGTTCCCTTGGGTTTCTAGTGGAACATAGGGCTTCAACTGCACGTATCCTCTTGCCACTTCTGTCTTCTGCTGTACTTTTCATCTGCATCCATGTTAGTCCATACTGTTTCAACCGACTCCTCTTCACACGATCTCCTCCATGTCACTCACCCTTGCACTGACGATCCACTCGCCGCTTCCCTTTCGGTCTGGTTCCACTCGAGCAATGGCCTGACGCGCACGCGATGTCACCCAGCGGTCTCCTCAGCGAGTGTCCAATCCATCACCATTTTCTCCTGCATATATGTTGGTTGGCGATTGGTTTGTTCTTGTTTTGTTTGTTCCCAGACATAGTTTCTTGTTGGTGATTCTTTCCGGCCAGGCCCGGCCATCTGATCTTCGGTACAGATCCAGCGAAGACAGTTGTTGATGAAGGTCTGCATTGCAACAGGTTTTTGGAAATATTCTTTGTGACCCACCCGACAAGTTTCTGATTCGTATAGAAGAACTGACTGACTTGACGTTGTTTGTATTGAAAATCCTACCGAATTTTATTGTTGATGCTGGTTGAGTGACGAAGATTTCCAGATTGATTTCAGGTTGATGAATGTGCTTCTCGCCTTCCCAATTCTCGCTCGATTTAACATCCTCGTCCGTTCCGACTGCCTGTAGTTGAGACAGTGCTCAATGTTAGATAAGTGAGTGAAAGAAGTAACCTCTTTCAAATCCCTTCCGTTGATGGTGATTGGCGCTGTATGTTGCTGCTGATATTGTTGTTGTTGTTGGTTGGTTATTTTCATAACCTCCGTCTTGTCTATGTTCACTTGGAGTCCTGTCTTTGCTGCTTCTTCGACCTAGATTACTAGCTCGTCCCAAGCCCGGATAAAAAGGAAGGGTTGAGGTGTGGCGCCAGCAACTCTACCCCCAAAACTTAAATAAACTGCTACAGAAACTTTGACTTCATATGATGCCAAGAGGTTAAAGCTGAAATGAATATCTTAAGGCATTGGAGTTACAGACTAGGGATTTTGTGTTTTCCACTTAGATTTATGCTGTTATATGGACATGACAGTTCTACTGAACAGTCTTCAGTCTAATACAACCAATCAGATTAATTGATTTCATCACTGCCTAATCTTATTTTATATGTTGGAAAAGTATATATAGTTTTGTATGATGCATTTCGTCTAACAGTCAGAGATTAGTCTTTGTCTTCTTCTTTGGGTATTTTTGTGATTCACTGGAGATATGAATGGAAGAATACTCGTATTCAATATTCCCTTGAAGTACTTATATTATCTGGTATAACTGTATCCGAGTTTTTACTCACTCAGTTACATGAATGTCTTCTTAAGAGCCTAACAAAAGAAGAGAAACAGCGATTCAATATTCAATGATCCTTCAGATTTTGTCTAACTAGCTTTTAATTATAATAAATACCTATGAATTAAAAGTTATTGAAGATCTTCTAACGAACTTTGTGAATCTTTAGGAATGTTTTCAACGATAAATCAAAAGTGGTTTTGAAGTAAATTTGTTTCAGTGTACAACAGTGCTGTTTACGGTTTGTCAACTCGTGTATTTTACCTATTCTTCTTTACTGTTCACCCTTATTCTTTCCTGGATTGCTTAAAAAAGACTATGTCATACTTCGTAGAACTCTGAAAACTGTCAGTAGGACGAGTGGTATACCATTGGGCCATATCGTTGACATTGTCACTGATAGGCACTTGATGTCATATGCGTCGGTGGCACAGTGGTTAGGACTCTCGTCGACCATGCACACGGTCCAACGTTCGAGCCCACGCCGACGCACACCTGATATCTATGGTCGGCCTGCAAAATCTGGGCTACCGATATCCATACTGAAAATTCCATACGTGTACCAAAAATAATGTGTGGAATCAAGTTGTAACCAAAAATGAATAAATAAAAATAAAATAACAAATTTGCTAGTGGAATTTCGTCAGACTGTGATAACCCACTCTACCCGCAGCTGCAACCTTGTGTCTCCTCAGGTAAAACAAGAAGTCTTTTCAGAAGACTTTATGCACGTACGTCTAAGTATAAAAATTCGACTATACCATATTTGGTGGCACGTATTTTATGTGATGAAAATAGTGTTAGGCAGGAACTAACCTTCTTTGCACTAGTAGATAAACCATTTTCTCCACCCTTACAACATCAACCTTTATTGTTATTGTATTTCTTATATTTATAATCCTCTCAATTTTTTGTTTTCGTTTATTTTTTCCACAAGTGTGAACATAATTTAAGCTGTGTTATAACGGTTAATTTTGTATTTTCCCTCACTATACTATATCAACAGAACATTAGATTCAATACTCTATAATAACATGCTTAAATTCCCAAACCGAATCGACAATACTGTTTAAAACAAACTCGCTGTTATTATTATTATTATTATATTTAATAATCTCAATTCGTGCTTGGAATACTTTAGACTTTATATCGTAAATGTGGACAAATTCCTCTGGTTACTTTTGTTTTAATTTTTAATTTTATTTATATTTTAAGTAAATCAGATACAATATTGTGACAAATGCAGAGAATTCCAGTCTGTATTATAAGTACTGTTTTTGGAAGAAAGTAAATTATTATCATTATTTTTACAAAAAACGTCTTGAATCGGAACAGAAGTTGGATTTCTCTACATCTGTATACATTTTACTGTGATTATTCGTTTCTTGCGTTCCAAGAGGCAACGTAAAGCTTCAACAGCACATCTCAATTACACTCAACTCACTGAAATTGTTTTCAGCTGGTGCCATGAATGCCCACTGGCTTTTATTTCCGCCTGACATGATGTTTCCCATGTGACTTTCGGATGGTCGACCAATCGTTTCCTATTCAAGTTTCACTCAACAGCCTGGGATATGATGGCACTTGACGGTCTCTTCAGCTTATGTCTAATCTATCTCCATTTGATTCCACGTGTTTGCTGAGGAATATTTTCTTACCTGCTTCATTGCCAGAGTTCCTTATTGCCTGTCTTTTCTAGCCAGTCATCAGATCTTCATTGAGGAGTAAAGCATGGTGTCCATGAAAGTCTGCAGTAGCCTGTTAAAAATGCTTTTCATGACGTATCAAGTCTTTAGACCACTTAAAATCACTAACTTGAAATTAGTGTAGAAAATTTGGATCTTGTTCATTTTGCTGAGTGCTGTTGATCTACACATCGATTTCAGAGCAGTGAGCTTTTATTTTGAGCCCCCCCCCGCCGCCGTCAATTTGATCATGATTGGCTTCGACATTTTCTACCTTGATCCCTGTAGTTAGTAAGTGAAACAGACGACGTTCTTTTGATTACTCCTGTTGATGATGATTGATGCTTGTTGTTGGTGCTGCTGGAAATCGGATATCTTCATCACCTTTGTCTTCTCTCGGCTCACCTGGGGTTCTATCCTCGCTGCTTTTTCTGCTGACTTGTTGGCTTTGGCTTTTAAGTCTTTGAGATTGATTGACATGAACCATAAACCATCTGCAGAATTTTGATCTTCTAGGGTCTCTATGTCTACCCAGTTTATACTGCTTTTCTCACTTCACATGGCCTGTAGCATGATCCACTCTACCTTATTGGAGAATATCACCGGCAATAGTAGCAACCTCTCTTTACTCCTGTCTTCAGTTCAGAGGTTTCACTGGTCTTTTCCACTGTGAATCATTTGGCAGGCGGCATCATCATGTAGCTGTTTGAATGAGGTTCTTAAGTGTCTCCATCACTGAACTCCGAAGTGCTGCAACAGTTTCCAAATTTTTTGGTGGTCGACCCTGTGGAAACGTTTTCAAAGTCGGTGAAAGTCAGGTAGAAATTTGACCACCATCCAATTCTGTGGTTGAAGATTCTGCGTAGTATTGTAATTTCTGTAAGTTGTTTTTCCTGAATCCAGACTGTTCCAGATGGAGTTGCGTATCCAGTGTATCTTTTAGTGTTATTAGAATGATGAAGGCTTATATTTTCCTTCGAATGGACAGGAGCATGATTCCGCGTCAGTTCTTGCACAGGCGTAAGTCGCCCTTCTTTGATAGGCTGATAAGGCAGCTTCCCTTTCAGTTGTTAGATACCTTCACTTCCTTCTATATCTTCTGCAGTAGTGATGTGAACACGTCAGTTGACTTCCTTTTTCAGTGCTACTGGGGAATCCCACCTGGTCTTTTGGCTTTTCCAACTATCTCTGAGTGTCTTTATGACCCTCAAAACTCTTACATTTATCACAGGATTGATGTTCATTGTTATCTTCTAGTAGTATTTCTAGATGTTTTGTGCGTAATCGTCGATTCAGGAGTCATTTAAAGTGATCAATGAAGCGTTTCTTATCTTTCTTTTCTCTGACAATATGGATTTGCTTCATCATCTGTCACTGGCTTCATCTGCGTTGATCTCTTCCTAAATAGCTATATAGTTACTTCATATAGTGTTATAGGGTCTATGCTACCTTATGTTTCACTTAACAGTTTGTTATAAAAGTGTCTTTTGTTTTTCTTAGAACTGTTTTTTGACTCCTTTGTACACTGAGTCATAGATTACACTCACTCACCTTCTCCTTTCATTGCTCATTCCTCCACTGGCTCATTTTCTGCTTCACCATCCTGTTCTCCTCATAGAGAGCCACTCCTCATCTTGCCTAAGATGTCCTTACAAGTTTGTTTCCACCTTCAAATATTTCTAGTGTTCTTCTATGCACGTTTCAATGAGGATGGTGTTTAATGCCACTGACACTTTCCCAGCTGACTGTACTAAGGGTGTTCTCTATTGCTTCATCGTTCAGTTTATAAATGCCGATCTTGAAATGTGGTCCATCTACAGATTCTCTGAAGTCTTCTAACTTGACCTTGAAAGCTTGTTGCATTGGATAGTGGTCTGAGTCCACTTTTTCTCCTTTCTAAGGTTTTGTGTCCGGTAGGTTACATTTTCACTTTCTTGATTTTTGTTATGCCGGCCTTGTGAAACCAAAGTTATCCTGAATATATCCTTGTGCATATCCCTACTGTTTCCAATCACTAAATCACTGAGGGCGTAAAAGTATGTCTTGATTTCCCTATTTTAATTCATTTCACCGAGCGTCCCTCAACCAATAATTGGTCCCCTTCCTGTGTTATGTGCTCCTAGTTTGGTATTAGTATCGCCCAGTAGGATTTCAATATCGTCACTTGATGTCTTGTCCATTAATGTTTACAGGGATTATTTGTAGAAGCCTTCCTTCTTCTCTGAGTGTGTTTTTTGGAGGTGCGTAACATTGCATTGTTGTAGCTTCCCTGTTTTCTGAACTGAATCTTGGTGTCATAATCCTTGGAAGGGCGGATTGATTCCCGTTGCATAAGAGCCTTCTCTGCTGTTAATGCCATGATGATAACCACACCTTGAATGTGCTCGTTGTTTCGTCTGAGTAGATCACCGATTCACCAGTTAATGATCCGGGGAGTAATATATACATTACTGAATAAATCCAAGAGTACGAACACTTTACTGAAGTCCTGACCTGATTGTTAGCGGTCTAGGTAGATAATTCATATCGTTTCTAGGATGACGATTAGTTGTTCCATGGTTATTTCATATGTACAATACATTGTTCAACTACAGTTAATTGTCATTTAGTGATATAAAGGCTTATCACTGATGACTTACCTCATTTGACAATGTTGACAACAGAAACAAGACAGGTGATAGACACTATTTTTCACCTTCATAACAAATTCATATGGTTGTACACGTTTCTGACAGACAGAACATTCACCTGTTTTGCCATAAAGTCTAAAGTTTAAAAAGGAAGGAAAAAGCAAGTTTAAGAACATCTGTTGAGTTAGTCAGTAGATCAATCGATCAGTGTGTTAGTGCATGTCCATTGTTTTTTAGGAAATCATAAAACTGGGTGAAAAGAATTCACATATAACACTGAATACATCTGAATACATTCGAAAAATGGTCTAAGACGATACTCTCCAACCCCCAACCCCCCTATTCCCAACTTTCTCCTTGTATCTCGTCAGGTAGAACCAGAAATCAGTACAAAATAATATATGCTCGTACTACCAAGTACAAGAACTCAACTATACCATATTTGGCCCGTGTTCTAAGTGACAGAGACAATGTTAGGCGCGAAACCTTTGACTTGATTTGTTGTTAGAAACGTAATTTTAGGCTCTTTCATTTCTCCCTTATTTGTATTCTATAGTGAACACCTTCTTAAGCATACTTAGCTACCTAAAATTATTAACATTGGCTTACTTTTTTGTACTCTACTCTATTCCTTCTTTTGTGTATCTATTGGTTCCAACCATATTAGCACTATGAGTATTACAAAGTTGTCCTGTCATTAACCATCATGTAATATTAGTTTTGTGGTTGTTTTTTGTTCGGCAATATTAACTGACAATCTTGCTTGTGAACGCCATTATCACCATCTTAAAATTTTGTATTATGCAGGATTACTCACACTACCACTACAAACACCGCGTTAGACCTGACATTAAAAACTATGAAATGTTTATTTTATGATTGTTTAATGTTGTTCAATCAAATTAACTGATCATCTTGGCTATAAACATTCCTAAGAACATCTCATAATTTCTAGTATGATTATACCTTTACTGTCACCACGTATAAACATATCATAACTTCCACTACCCAATACTGAGATATTATTTTATGTTGTTTATTTCCCTTTCTACTTCTTGGTATTTGTTCGTTATTTTGTTGTTTTCGTTGTTGTTTTTTTATATTTATTTTTTGAAATACTCCTTTTTAAATGTTTGATAAAATCAGATGTAATATTATTATAATAGCTTAATTCCACACATTATTTTTGGTACAAGTATGGAATTTTCAGCATGTGATATCGGTAGCCTAAATTTCGCAGGCTGACCATATATATCAGGTTTGCGTCGGCGTGGGCTCGAACGTTGGACCATGTGCATAGTCGACGAGAGTCCTAACCACTGTGCCACCGACGCACTATATTTTAGATATGTGCTGAAAATTCCATACTGTACCACTAGTACTGTTTCTGGAATAGAGCAAAATTACTATTATAATTAAGATTTAAAATGTGGGATAGTCTAACTATATAACTAGTCATTCAAAGTAATATTGTGTAAAATGAAACGGAACTATGTTTTTTGTAAAGAAAAATGTAAATAGGATTTATCAGTATGAATAGTTTATTTTTCTGTACTAAGAATTTTCACCAGTAATGGGATTGATTTTGTTTCACAGGGTTAGCGTGCAGCTTAAGACTTGCAAGTGATGGGATGACTATAACTGACTCGTTGTGATCTAAACTCAGGGAAGCGATCTTTCCATCCTACTGCATAACTGTCCGAAAATTCCGTGATAGATGCACAGTCATAAAACGCTCCAAAGGTAGTAAAGGGACGATTAATTATTCGTCGATAGATCTATGGTTCTGAAAAGTGCCTTTAGGCAGCGAAACAGATAAGGTAACTGTCCAGTTGAAAAGCAAGTACTTACAATCGAGTTGAATGCTCATAACAAGGTGGCATTAAAAACTCTCTCCACAAGAATTACATGTCAACAGTTCCCAAAGACAGTCAAAGCTCAGAATGGTCATGACTCATCCAAACAAAATCACACCATATAACAATACAGTACCAGCATCACCACAACACAACCACAAATATGAGCATTAAAATAAGAGATTAGACAGGAGCAAAGACAAATAATTGGAGCTAATTCAACAGATGTTATGCATTTAAAGCAATTAGTTCCCTTTATATGAATTTCGACAACACAATAAGAAGACGTAGTTTATCTGAAACGTGTAATGTATTTGCGCAACACATTTCGGACATTCTGATCACACAGACAGGTGCTTGTCATACACACTTTTATAGAAGGCAGGAAGACATACATGAATAGTTACAATACAGGTCAGATTGTTTACAGAGCACGGTCACAAATAATGGGTAGGGAGATGACGCAGAGGTGTGGGTAAGAAAGATAAAATGAGAGAAAAAACAAGGCAAAGAAGGGGTTGAAAATATTATTAAGAAGCTGGAATAACAAACCAGGTTAAAAGTAATATCAAATTACTTTTGGTCACATAAGACAGGTTTAAATCTTTCTATGGCTAAGGCTTCTACGAAATTAGGTATGCGGTCCAACGCTGTTTGATATAGGGGCTTAAAGGCATTGTTGAAATCAACCTTATAACCCGTCTCTATAATGTGCAAACGTACGAATAATGACGTAGAGTCTAGGAGCGAAAAAAACGATACTAATTATAAGGTTATTTAAAACATTCAAATAAGTATCACTATCGTAATTGGTTCTTTCAGAAGGGAGATTTTCCAGACAAGAATTCCGTTACAAGTGGACTAAGCGAGGTTATTCTAATTGGTTATAAATTGTTTTATCAATTTTAACGAAATCACACGAAATATTTTGGTGAAGGCACTTGTTAACAAACTGGGTTTGTCATTAGAATTTGATTGGTGGATGGTGAATAACAGTGGAATCCAGTATGCGCGTTTCGTCCTATTTGGGACTAGTCATCTGGATGTGACTGCATTTTCCTGTGAGTGGTGATGTCCCCACCGAGGCTCGAACCCAATGCCCATGGTTTCATACGCTAGTCACCATCCACCAATTAAATTCTAATTGAATGTTGAGACATCGTCCAAGCATTTACACAAGAAGTCGACTTGTCAACCTGAGACCGAGAACTTCGGCTCAATGAGTTGACGGGAAAATCTAAAATTCACTTGGGTTTGTCATTGTTCAGTAAAATGAACCTGAAACTATTAAAACAGAATCCTACGAAATACATTATACACACAGGTTCTTTTGAAAAACAAAAACTAAGAAGTGAAATTTAAACCTCTGACTCCCAAAAGGTAGCTAGTTTTCGTCTAACATGCCTAAAACTATAAAGGAATTTTCCCAAAGAGGCTTATACAGACTCCGCTGAAAACTAAAGAGAATTTCTTATCCTGTTTGACTGATATAACGGTATAACATGAGGTGTCCAAACTTTAGAAGGACAATGCATCCATGAGAGTGAATGCATTGGTAGAGGTAATTGAAGGAAATTAATTTATATTTTAAGCATATTGGGTGAAGTTTCTACAAGTTTAGTCACGGAACATCTAGCTGATGTAGGACATAAAAATCAATGTTCGTTAAGTTTTTGAGTGAATCACTATACAGAGGGGGTTAGATTTATTTCCTTTAAGCGAGGCTTATTCAACTATAAGAATGAAATCTAACTTATTGTTACCTGTGGGTTAAGAGTGGAAAATGGGGCTTCAACTGACCATCTCCATTTCCTTCTGTTCTCTGCTGTCCTCTTCAGATGACTCAACTATTCTCCATAAGCTGTCACCTCCTTCGTTTCATATGATCTCCTGTACATCATCCTCTCACTTACGCCCAACTCATCGTTTCCCATGTAAACTCCACTCCAGCGATGTTCTGGTGTGCAAAATCACTCTTTGGTCTTTGCAGTTTGTCTCAGATCTACCACCATTTTTGATCGGAATCTCTTGTTTCTTGTGACTAATTCTTTCTGGTTATCCGACAGTTCGATCTTCAGTATGGAGTCAGTGAAGGCAACTGTCGAAAAAAAATTTGCAGTAGTCTGTTGCAGATGCCTCATGTGATGCGAGTGAAAAGTTTCTGATCCATACATCAGAAGTGACTGACTTACCATTGGTGTTGAAAAATCGAATTTTGTTGTTGATACTTACTGAGTGCAGAAGATTTCCCAAATGATTTTATAGGAATGATGAAGGTCGCCTTTGCCTTTCTGATTCTGGTCTTGACATCTTCATTTCTGATGATTGCCTGTAGTTGAGACGATATTGCCAAGATAAGTGAAGGGAGTTACCTCTTTAAAATTTCACCAGTTGTTAACGTTCAGTGCTTGTAGTTGCTGTTTTGTATATTGTAAATTGCGAACAACGTGTTTCCTCCAAAGAGTTAGAGTATATCGTTCATTCACCTATCATTTGCAAAAATCCTTACTGATTCATGCTGTTATCAGGCGTAGGATAGTTCTGAACTAAAAAAATGAACTGATTTACATGCATCCTCTTAACATATTCACAATGTCTTTGTTTAATAATAATAATAATAATAATTTGCTTTATTCCAAAACAGTAATTGTGATAAAGAATGGGATTCTCACCATTTCACCACATTATATTGCATCCAGTTTGTACATTAACAATAAATACAATTCTACATAGATTATGGGTATTCTCGGTTAGTTTTGACAACAACATATTGGCATATCGGTAGCAAAGCCAAAAGTAAACAGAGTTTTGCAGATGCTAGAAAAAAAGATGCTAGCGTATTTACTGGCGAAAGCGGTAACAAAAAGGTTGAGATATGCAGAGTGTGAAAGAAAGAAGAAGAATGTTTTAAGTAGAGAAAAGGAAAAGAAAGAAAGAAAACGTTGTATCTATGATTGATATGAGTTGGAAAGACGAGATCCAGTTATAGGTTTCACGCCTAATGCTTTGGGTCATAGGAGTAAAGAAGAAGTACATGGCAGCGAAGAAAATTTTCTTTTCGACCATGTCATCATCTAGGCTGTACATTCGTGTATTGATATCAAATGGATGGGAAAGTTCCAGAATAATATCCGGTCAAGGGTCAAATTAATAAAAATTAAAATTAGGAATTAGAACGCCATAATAAACAAGGGGAGGGATGGATAAAACTCAAACAAAGTAGCATCATAATAACTAAGACGATTGACATTGTGCAATTTTGTACGGCTTACCTAAGGT